AGGGAAAAAGCTAAGGCACTAGAAATGACTAGGTGCAGCAAGCCCTGGGATTCACTGAAGAAAAGTAATGGAACACCAGAATTGAAAACAGAAATGACAAAATTTTCACAATGCCAAGTAAGACAGATTAAATAAGAGTAGGGTTAGGACAGCTAACTCACAGGAAAGGGGACAGGGTTTTGTTGTTTAGTCACTAAGTTGTGTCCAACTCCTTTTTGAACTCATGCACTACAGCCTGCCAGGTTCCTCTGTCCATCGGATTCTCCAGGCAAGAATCCTGGAGTGGGTTGCCATTTCCTTCTCCATGGGATCTTTGTGACTCAGGAATCGAACCTGCATCTCTTGCATCTGCCTGCACTGGCAGGCGGGTTTGTTACCAGCTGAGCCACAGGGAAGTCCAAAATATTTTTCTTTATTGATTTGGCTGTGCTGAGTCTTAGTTGTGGTGTGCTCGATCTTCTAGCTGCAGCATGCAGGATCTTGAGTTGTGGCATGTGGGATCTAGTTCCTCTATCAGGGATCAAACCTGGTCCCCCTGCATTGAGAGCATGGAGCCTTAACCACAGGACCACCCGACCACCACGGCAGTCCCTCCAGGAACAGGTATCTAGGGGCAAATGTGGAAGAGTCTGAGGCATTATTTGAATACATTTATTCTTAACTCCCTTGGTTCACTTCTCTTTTCCTGTCATCATCTGCTCTAATGAATAGTAGGTTAAAAACCTTCCCATGGTTTGATTGTGCAGCAGCCTAAAAAAGACTTTGATATTGCCATGAGTATTCCTAGCCACACTCAGGAGTAAAGATAAGAGAATTAACTAGACATTATTAATTAAGAATTAGAGTTATCTGAAAGATCTTTCCATGCTGATTGAAATTCATCTCAGTTTTTTTTCTTTTGCTTGAAGCTTTATAGGTTGTTAATTATATGTGTATATAACTCACTGAACTATGTATCACTCAGTTCCCTAATGAAATCATCAGGAATGATGAAGTGGGAGGTTTTGGTTTGGTTTTGGTTTTAATTTTGGTTTTTGAAAGGATTTGGGATGCTCTCCTTTGGTGGTTTTTTAATTATTATTTTTTTGGCTGTGCCGGGTCTTCATTGAGGCACTCAGGCACTCAGGCTATTCACTGTGGTGCATGCACTTCTCTACTTGCCACAGGTGGGCTCAGCAATTGCAGCACACAGGCTTAGTTGTGGCATGTGGGATTTAGTTCCCTGACCAGGGATCGAATCCGGGCCCCTTCATTGGGAACATAGAGTCTTATCCACTAGACCACTAGCGAAGCCTCAGGGGTCTCTCATTTGGAACAAGAGAATGCTTGAGTGGGCTGTTAACATCTAAGGGAAGTTTTCTAAAAATAGGAGAACTGTATAGAGATGGGAGGATGCCTCATAATTCTGGTGCCTTGGGATGGTTCTAAACATACACTTTACATTTGTTGATTGTTTACAGCTTGTACTTACTTTTAGTAACTACATGTCTTTAATAATATTTATATATAACAAATTTATAACAAATATAATAAGAAATATATATTTATATATAACAAATATTTATAATAATATTTGTTTAATAAATACCTACTGAAAGTTCTCTCAGTATATGCAAGATACTGAACAAGACTTTGAAAGGAAAACTGATACAAAGGACATGGCTTCTGTTCTGACTAGACTTTGTGATGTTCGACCCCAGGTGGTGGTGAAGGGAGGGGGGACTTCATAGATGATGCCAAGTTTATGGGCAGAAAATACAAGGAAGGTGGTGCCATTATAAGAGTAGATAACATGGGGAGGATAGCAGGTTTGCAGTGGCATTTGTAGCTAGCAGACATGAAGGAGGACACAATGAGTGAAGGAATTTGGGTTTTAGTTCATGTATCATCCATTTATATTTATGTGTGGCACTTGGACAAGTAGATCTTGAGTAAAAGAATAGAGTTAATGGGGTCTGTTTGGAAGTCATATGAGGAAATATCACTTTTAAAGGTATAGGAGCCATTCAGATGTCCCCAGGGAAATGGTATGGAATGGAAAATCATAGAACCTTGGGAAATAGGTGACAAGGAGAGGATAGAAATGGCCAAGGAATTTGGAGGAAAAAAAAGAGTTCAGTCTTGTGGGAGTCAGGAGAGCAGAATATGGAAGCAGGCCTGGGGTGACTCGCAATGCAATGATCGGAGAAAGAATGAGTGACAAATTCATAAACAAGATTCATCATTATTCAGGGAAAATTGTGTTAAAAGCAGCAATAAAAATTGCTAAGTTGATTTTTTTAACACTAGAATTGGTTTTATATTTTCATCCAGTTTATCATTAATATGAATTTTATTTGTTTTGGTAACTCAAGCATGATCATTCAAATTGTGACTTATGAGCAGCAATGTGTTCTAGCAAGTGTTTGGCGTAGTGTTTGGTCATAGTATTCAACTTTTCCATAACAACATTTTTCTGTTGAGTTTATTACTTTGTTGGTAAATTCTTAAAATTATATTTTGGTGTTTTGACCTTGCGTCTGGCACTTTTGCTTACTTAAACATTTGCATAGAAGAAAATTTATTCAAACAGTTGCATAGGGTAAAATTCACTTTTTTGGTGTATAGTTCCATGAATTTAGACAAATGTACAGTCATTCAACTACCACTAATATCAAAATTCCCCAGGACTGATCCTTATATAGTATTATGAAAGTGTTAGTGGCTCAGTTGTATCCAACTCTTTGTGACCCTGTGGACTGTGGCCCGCCAGGCTCCTCTGTCCATGGAATTCTCCAGACAAGAATACTGGAGTGGGTTGCCATTCCCTTCTCCAGGGGATCTTCCCAACCCTGGAATCGAACGTGGGTCTCCTGCATTGCAGGCAGATTCTTTATCATCTGAGCCATCAGGGAAGCCCCTATATAGCATTATGGATACTGTTTAAAATCCTTTTTTAGATTACTTATCATGAAGTGAGTTGGATTTTCTTGAATCTGCTGTTTGCAAGATACTTCTGCTAGGGTTTGGGGAAGACATTCTGGGCACCCTTCAGATTTTTTTCTTCACCACCTTCACAGAGTCAAGCCATTTCCTGCTTAAACAGCTCCTCTGAGTCTTTGTGTTACCACTCACTGTGAACTATGCGAGGTGCAAGAGGGCTTCTTCTGCCTTTATTCCTACATGTAATAGGAGAGAGAGATTTTTCAATTTGCTATGACCTCCTTCACCTTCAGGAAGTATATTTTTGTCATCATTTTTCCGAGATCTGCCACTACTGGCCATGTTGTTATTGGTTGAACTTCTTTCTGCCTTTCTCCCTGTGTGATATCTACTAACTCTGCTGCACCTGGGTAACTGTTACATATTTTTGGAATCTGTGAAAAATATGTCTTCTAGTTTTGCTAAAAAGAGGGATTGTGCAGTTTTTGTTGTCATTAACTGTGTAACTTTTGCATGCTATCTGGGAGGAGCAGATAGAAGATCCTGTTTAACACATCCATGTTCTTACTGGAAGTCCTTCCTTTAACTCCTCTCACCACTGCCTTTCTCTCATTCCCTTTCTTTGGCTCACACATTAAGCTCTGGTATCCCTCACACTGCCAACTCCTCTTATTCCTACATCACTTTATTAAAGCATGTAGTACTTCCTGTTATATCCTAGACCATGTCATCATTTCCTGAACATACAATTTCAAAGGTGGTCCACTTTTTCTTGCTATCCTTTTAATTTGAAATGCCCTTTTATTCTTTCCCTGATTGGTATACTGTTGTTCATACTTCATGGCAACCCACTCCAGTATTCTTGCCTGGACTATCCCAGGGACTGGGGAGCCTGGTGGGCTGCTGTCTGTGGGGTCGCACAGAGTCGGACACGACTGAAGCGACTTAACAGCTGCAGCAGTTCATACTTCATGAGCTAAAAATGTGTATTGACTCCTTTATGAAGCCTTCTTTGGCATCTCCTCAGCTGTTGTTGTTTCTGACTCTTTGTGACTTCATGGACCGCAGCACACCAGGCTTCCCTGTCCTTTAGTCTCTCCCGGAGTTTGCTCAAATTCATGTACACTGAGTCAGTGATGCTATCTAATCATCTCATCCTCTGCTACCTTCTTCTCTTTTTGCCTTCAATCTTTCCCAGCATCAGGGTCTTTTCCAGTGAGTCAGCTCTCCACATCAGGTGGCCAAAGTATAGGAGCTTCAGCTTCAGCATCAATCCTTCCAACAAGTATTCTCAGTTGATTTCCTTTACAATTGACTAATTTGATCTCCTTACCATCCAAGGGACTCTCCAGAGTCTTCTCCAGGACCACAATTTGAAAGCCTCAGCTTTTCAGTGTTCAGCCTTGTTGATGATCCAACTCTCAAATCCATGCATGACTACTGGAAAAACCATAGCTTTGACCATATGGACCTTTGTAGGCAAGGTGATGTCTCTGCTTTTTAATACACTGTCTAGGTTGGTCATAGCTTTCCTTCCAAGGAACAAGCATCTTTTAATTTAATGTCTGCAATCACCGCCCACAGTGATTTTGGAGCCCAAGAAAATAAAACCTGTCATTGCTTCCACTTTTTCCCCTTTCATTTGCCGTGAAGCAAGGCAAATCAATCTCTCACCTATGTTTCCACAGCACACTATCCCATTTTCACTGCACTTACTTTGTTGCTTTCAATATTTGTATATCTTATTATCAAGCCAGTGAGTATCCCCTGCATCTATGTATTGGCCTGTCAATATAAAACTTTCAAATCCTTGGTTTCTAGGACTCTACTTGCAAATCTCCTATGATGAACAGCGCATACCTTCATTTAGTCTCATTTGACTTTCTACTGGTCAATTGAAGGGTGCAATATTTTGAGTCACTAGATTTCCATATCTAGCTTTTGCTTGCAAAGTGTTTTGATAATTTCAAAGAAATTTTACTATTCTTAGAATGTTACTGGAACTCCTCTAGAATTGAAGCCTCACTTAAAAAAAAAAAAACTCAGTAATTACTAATAGAAGTTATTCTGCATTCCAGGTGATGCAACTGTGACAATAGCTCACAGATATACCCCCAAAGAGCAACTGAAGATCCATACTCTGTTGGCAGATGTTATCATAGTTGCTGCAGGTAAGTCTTTAGTGCCTGTTATTTGTTGAAATGTCACATCAGCAGACTAATTCCTTCCTTGATTTCTGACATGTCTATAAGAACAGCTTCTTGGAAGAATTAGGTATATGTACAACTAACTTCCGTTCTGTCTTTCGGTAGTCATGAATTGGTCCATTATGCCTGTGTTAGCATTTGTTACTTCATTATGGAAAACCAAAACAGTCTTTGGAATGACAGATTAAGCACAAGAATGAACGTGTACTTTGACAATTTCTTTGACTGGCATGATTGGTTCCAAACATGAATAAGTTAAAAGGAGACTGGTAGGAAATGCTGTTAAAAAGGTAGTCAGGGCTAGCTCATGTAGGATCTTGAAAACCCTCCAGGGACTTTCATATAAGCCAAGGATGGCTGTGAGCAAAAGATAGATATGGTTTGGCTTATGTTTTTAAAATAATACTTATATGTGTCAAGGAGAATTGATTCTAGAACAGTAAGAGCAGAAACAGAGAGAATAGTTATTGCACTTCTATTTAATGAATCTTGATTTTTCCCTTAATTTGTTTTATATTCAAACATACAAAGTAATTCTACCCTTCACTTCTAGCTTTACTCTTGCCACATAGTATTTCTACATTACAGACGACTGTGACTCTTGTTGTTTTATCCAAGGCTTGAATGGGGGCATTTTTCACTTTGTTTATCAATTAGATGTTACTGATAATTTCTAGACTTTACAGTTAAGTTGTTGGATATTTACAAACTACAAAGGGAGGGTAAAAGTTCCAGAAGAAATTGAGTTTGATGAAGAGAATGATAATAGTTTAAATTAGTTTCAATCAAGTTTAACTCACTTTTTAAATAATATAGACCCTTCTCTGAAACTCAGACTATATATGTGATGATTGCAGGTGGAGTAATTTGCCTCTTTGTAGAGTAAAAATAGAAATATTACACTTTCATGAAGTCACCAGTAAGCTGGTAAAGCTAATCATATTTCCTGTTTTTCTGAAAAATTATATTCAGGAGATATCAAATGCAAATTTTTGAACTGAGCTGATATAAGTAAGACATCAGATGTTTAGAGAGGCACTAAGAGTTTTCATACCATAGGTCAACATTAAGTAAAATCTGTGCACCAGCTGATATATTAGCAGAGACAAATACCGACTCCTGTTTAGAAATACTAGGATCCACACCAGTCTCAGGATTTGGTGAACAGAGAGAAATTAGAGTGATCTTCCTGGTTTATCTCTAACTTTAGACAGAATGAAATTTACATTATCTTTAAAAGGTGCTGTTGACTCCAGTATTACCAACTTGTAAAGACTGTTCCTTCATTGACTCCATTTCCCATTTATCAATTATGACATTAAATCCATATTTTCTTCTAGTGCATTCAGTTCATGGGTTTTTTTTTTCTAATTTTGATAAAAAATGACAAATGTGTAATCAAAATCCTCTTTTCAGAACCACTGACATTCTTTGTGACTAAATCAAAGCTTATGTCACAAGTATACATTCTTGAGTTCCTGCTATGGACTCACTGTATGCTCTTTTGTAAAGGCTTAAATCAGCACTTTGTAAAAGGCAAAGGAACAAGAGATAAAATTGCCAACATCTGTTAGATCATAGAAAAAGCAAGAGATTTCCAGAAAAACATCTACTTCTGCTTCATTTACTATGCTAAAGCCTTTGACTGTGTGAATCACAATAAACTGTGGAAAATTCTTCAAGAGATGGAAATACCAGACCACCTTGCCTATCCCAAAAAACCTGTATTCAGGTTGAGAAGCAGCAGTTAGAACCAGACATGGGAACAACTGACTGGTTCCAAACTGGGAAAGGAGTACATCAAGGCTGTATGTTGTCACCTTGCTTGTTTAACTTCTGTGCAGAGTACATCATGAAAAATGCTGGGCTGGATGAAGCACAAGCTTGAATCAAGATTGCCAGGAGAAATAGCAATAACCTCAGATATGTGATGACACCACCCATATGGCAGGGGGAGCTCAAGAGCCTTTTGATGAAGGTGAAAGAGGAGAGTGAAAAAGTGGGCTTAAAACTCAACATTCAGAAAACTAAGATCATGGCATCCCGTCCCATTAGTTCATGGCAAATAGACGGGAAAACAGTGGAAACAGTGAGAGAATTTATTTTGGGGGGCTCCAAAATCACTGCAGATGGTAACTGCAGCCATGAAATTAAAAGATGCTATCTTCTTGAAAGAAAAGCTATGACAAACCTAGACAGCATATTAAAAAGCAGAGACATTACTTTGCCAACAAAAGTCCATCTAGTCAAAGCTATCTTTTTTCAGTAGTCATGTATGGATGTGAGAGTTGGACTATAAAGAAGGCTGAGCACCTAAGAATTGATGCTTTCAAACTGTGGTGTTGGAGAAGACTCTTGAGAGTCCCTTGGACTGCAGGGAGATCAAACCAGTCAATCCTAAAGGAAATCAATCCTGAATACTCATTGGAAGGACTTATGCTGAAGCTGAAGCTACAGTACTTTGGCCACCTGATGGGAAGAGCTGCCTCATTGGAAAAGAACCTGATGCTGGGAAAGATTGAGGGCGGGAGGAGAAGCGGATGACAGAGGACGAGATGGTTTGATGGCATCACCGACTCAATGGACATGGGTTTGAACAAGCTCCGGGAGATGGTGAAGGACGGGGAATCCTGGCATGCTGCGGTCCATGGGGTCGCAAAGAGTCAGACATGACTGAACGACTGAACAAAAACAACAAATAAGCATTGAATACAAGGCATTAAAAATAAGACAGGAAAAGACAAAGGGAAATAAGAGAAGAAAAAGGAGGAGCCAAGCCTATATAAAATGAACAAGTGAAAGTGATAGTCCATCGGTCATGTCCGACTCTTTTGAACTGCTTGAACTATATATAGCCCGTTAGGCTTCTCTGTCCGTGGAATTCTCCAGGCAAGAATACTGGAGTGGGCAGCCATTCCTTTCTCCAGAGGATCTTCCCTACTCGGGGATCTAACCCAGGTCTCCTGCACTCCAGGTTGATTCTTTACCATCTGAGCCACTAAGCCAGGAGGTACTCGGGCTTCTAGCGGTAGAGCCTCTGTGGAGACTTTATGAGCAGCAGCCATCCTGTTCAGGATAGCCACTTACCACCAGAGGGCGCCAGTCAGGTGTGCCGCTACTGCAAACAGCCAGCTGGGCACACTTCATCCTTATCCTGAGGGAGAAGACATTTTGAATGAGAGCAGTGCAATCAGGTCTTGCTTCTGCTCTGTATTCTAGTTCTAATGCCTCCAACTATTAATAGATACTAAAGTATTCTGAAAGCTGGAAGACTGCCCTATACAAAGCCCTCCCGTCATCCCCAAGAAATAAATATTTGGATAATGGGAAATTTCAGGGAAGAGAATTGAGAATTATAAGAAATAACTAAAGATTGCTACATTTACACTTCCTTAATAAACACCAGGAGAATTTAAGGGTAAAATATGTAGATATTGGTAAATTACAGTAAAATATAAATTAATGTAAAAAAGAAATTCCATATAACCAGACAATAAGAATGAAATATTTCTGAAATGACCACATCATCATGTGTGGGGAATAAATAAATACAATTAGCAGTGGGTATTAAAGAAGGAGATAGTGATCTAATAGCAGAGTTGCTGGGACAGGGAGGGCTGGATCATTATCATAATGAAGACGTCAGCATATATGGAAGCAGTTGCATCTAAAAGTCGGGAACAGTAGAAGGAGGAGCAGGGTGTAATGTACCAGAAAGTTTAATAATGTTTGAGAAATGACAGTGCAGAATGTAATGATGAAATCTCAGAATGGGCTTGAACAAGAAAAAGGTAAAAAAGGAAATCATTTTGTGAAGATCCTGGGGCATGAAAATTAGCTTATATTAACCTCACCCCTCCAGTTTCTCAAATTACCATAGGTTTAACTGTGCATCACTTACTTTTTAAATATCTACTTTCAAAAATCAAGAATTGGACTAATTTAGAAGCTCAGATTTGAAAATCAGATCGTCAGACTGCTTCCCAAGTAGCACTAGCAGTAAAGAACCCGCCTGCCAATGCAGGAGACATAATGAGACAAAGCTTCCATCCCTTGATCGGGAAGATTCCCTGGAAAAGGGAATGGCTACCCACTCCAGTATTCTTGCCTGGAGAATTCCATGGACAGAGGAGCCTTGCGGGCTACAATCCCTGGGGTCGCAAAGAGTCAGGACATGACTGAGTGACTAACACACAGAAGCTCAAATCTGAAAACTGGATTGTCAAACTGCACTCAGAAATAAGAAGTTTAAGTCTCTCTAGCTACCTCTGAGTTCACAGAAAGCATGAGTCTGTTTTTAGGGTATTATCCTGAACCATGCTTATAGCACTTAGCACCTGTGTATGGCTGTCTGTCACCCTCACCAGACTAGAGTGGGGACAGGTCTGGGTTTTGTTGTTGTTGTTGTTGGCTCTTTTTTTAGCCAAGTGCTTAGAACGGTATCTGACCCATAGTGGGTACTCGGTAAATGTGTCCTGTAATTCATCTTGAGATTACAGTTGGAGCAAGGATTTCTTCAAGTTGATATAAACTTAACTGATAAATATTTAAGAATACTTTTATAAGGATGAAATTGTTAGTCTAAGATATTGGTTGATTCACTTAGAGATAACATTATTTTTATGACTACTAAACTTCCTTTTGCCATCTCCTGTTTGACCACTTCCAGTTTGCCTTGATTCATGGACCTAATGTTCCAGGTTCCTATGCAATATTGCTCTTTACAGCATCGGACCTTGCTTCTATCACCAGTCACATCCACAAATGGGTATTGTTTTTGCTTTGGCTCCATCCCTTCATTCTTTCTGGAGTTATTTCTCCACTGATCTCCAGTAGCATATTGGGCACCTACTGACCTGGGGAGTTCCTCTTTGAATATCCTATCATTTTGCCTTTTCGTACTGTTCATGGGGTTCTCAAGGCAAGAATACTGAAGTGGTTTGTCATTCCCTTCTCCAGTGGAC